CTTATTATAATTATGTTTCATTTTTACTAATTATTTACTTATTTATTTAGTTAAACATCATTATTCATGTTACTAATCATTACTTATTAATTGCATTATCATTATCCCTAAAAGAAAATTAAAAAAAAAAAAAAACAAATTTTGTATTTCATTGTGTATAAATTTATATACTCCGTATCTGTATTTCATAGTGTATAATGGTATATAGTTGGTATTTTATATTTTTTTGCAATATGAAGTAATGTTGCCATTTCAAAAGACAACATCCTTTTTATTCAATTTCGCCTTTAGAAAAGACACTTTCCTTCTTTTGTATCCCACAAAGGAGATTTCCTATTTTGAGAACCGTGCTCCAAACTTTCTCCGATTGGCAAATGATTCGCTTCTCTGCCTCTCGCCTCTCGCTACCGGAGTACCGGCTACTGCCCCTCTCAGCCTCCCGTCTCCTCTCAGGACTCAGGAGTCCTCGGTCATATGTGGCTCTATCGCTCTATCCCTGTCTGTGCCGAACGGTCGCACCTCGCCACTCGCCATTCCTCTGTGCCATAATTTCGCCAGTCAGCAGCCCAGCAGGAGTCCTCAGTGAGTTAGTGTCTCACAATCCCAGCCTCTCAGGTTCGTATTTTTGCAATTTTGTCCTAATTTCTCTAATTTTATTTTTGCCCTAATTTCCCTAAGTCTTAGACTCTGTTATTATTGGTGTTGCCGTTGAATTTTATATGAATGTGAGCAGTGACTATTATTGTTTTTAATCAATTTAAATATTTAATGTATGTGGTTTTTGGATGATTTATGTCGTATGTGCTTAAGTGCTTTTATATCATTATATGATTCATGAATGTGAGTATGTGACTATGTGAGTACTGAGCCAGTGAGCGGCTAAAAATATTGTTTTTAAATCATGAATGTCGTATGTGCTTAAGTGGTTTTGGATCATACAGCGCAAACAATATTAGTGCTATTCCGGTTGCAAGCTTTTACTCCAAGAGGGTGCTCGGGTAAATGTGGTTGATATATATGGTTATCAGGTATACTATACTTTTGCATGCATTTTATTTTTAGCACATCACACTTATCACATGAACCTTGTATTTGAACATTTTTTAATTTATTTTACCTTTGTTTCTTTGCTTCCCTCAAAGAAAATCCTGGCTCCGTCCCTGATCTGGGTGACAAAAATGACAATGTAAAAGACCATTTGCATCTCAGTTCGATGAATATATTGTCAATGAACAACAGATGGAAAATATATACTCAGGTGGTGTGCAAGACTTTCTAATTAACCAAAGTTAGTCTTGACTACGTTTGACCAATTCTTCAATGATATTAAAGAAGCGTTGAATTCATCTAACGAATTCAGCTTCAAATTTGTGAAACGGATTATTCAAGTTCTTTGTAGCATTGCTAGGGAAGTAGGGAAGTTGTTTCTATGTCTGACCGTAATGAATGGTATACCGATGGTATACCCATCGATCCTATTTGTAATCGCTTCAGCTTATGATTAAATGAATGAACTTCTTTATTTTCAAAAAAAAAAAAATGATAAGTTACTCAATATAAAATACTACTTCATCTGTCTCATTTTACATGTCATGCTTATTATTCATTGGTCAAATCTCATTTTACATGTCATGTTTATTATTCATTGGTCAAATCGACCCTTTTTTTACATATTTTTTTTAGTATTTTTAGTATTTTTGTGTTTAATAGTAATTTTAATTTAGTTTCTAAATATATAAAATTTATATACTAATAATAAACTTAATATAATAAAAATTGATTTAAAAATAATTTTAATCAAATCTCATAAATCGAACTAAACACAAAATAATACGGTTGGAGTATTTATTATTATTATTATTTTTAAATTAACACAAACCTAACATGCTACTTCATAGTTCATTATATTTATCATAAACTTCATAAAAATTTAATTAAATAAAATAAGTTTAATATATAGGTACAAAAAGGTAGAATATCTTGAGTCAACCGTCTGAACATATGATTGATTTGCTCCAGTCTGATAAAGCAGTTGTTGCTATTCAAAGAGTGAAGTAGTCACACCTCGGGACTCTTGTACCAAAAAATAAATAAATAAATAAATAAAGTTATGTACAAATGATATTGGTTGAATTGAGGACAGAGTTTTCCATACCGACCATGTGAATTGTATGATTAATTATGCATAAATGCATCATATAGTGTATGAAAATACATTAAAATACTAATTTTTTACATGTATTGTGCGATTGGGATAATGTCCAATGCTTTTTTTTTTTAAATAAGTACTTTAAAGAATATTAAGGCAGGATTATATTGAAATTGTTCATGCATAGATAAATAAGTACTTTAAAGAATATTAAGGCATGATTATATTGAAATTGTTCTTGCATAGATAATTGAAGGTTGAATTTGCGTATTTAAATAGGTAACTCTTCTCCCAAAGGTTGAGTCCCCAACCCCAAGGGCCCCCCACACTCCGACCCGACAGAGCATTGTGGGAAGATGTAAACCACGGTGACTCAATGGTTCAGCAGACAGGGCCAAATGTTGATACGCACAAGGAATCTGCCCACTTTGGACATAATTTCCGCACTGCCGCCGCCGAGGTTCAAACCTTGGTCTCTTCTCCCAAATACTACCCACTAAACCATTGAGATAAGCCCGTGTGGGTTAAATAGGTAATTCCAAGTTTACAAATACAAGATAATATAATCAAGATTGATTATAATTGTCAATAAAATAATTGTATAGGTATGGTTGAAACCAAATACGGGACATAAGGGAGAACAAATAAAAATTAGGGCATAAAACATTAAATATATACTAATATTGTTTGAGGAGATTCCGACATTATGATTTGTAGTTAAGTTCTATTAAGACTTTAATATTAGAATTAGATTAATGGTGTAGTTATAATTCTATATTAGACTTTAATATTAGAATTAGACTAACGGTGAATTAACAAAAAAGTTAAATGGATAATCATATAATTAAGGATAAATTAGAAAATCTTAAAAGAAAAAAATTAAAACCTGAATAATATGAACCAATCATTTGATTTAATAATTTGGCGGTCATTTTTTCTACCCAATGTTACTAATTAAATAAATTCGCTGGTCAAATCCGCTAACGCTAACACTAACCGCTAACTGCTGATTGTCAAACAAGGACATTGCGAGGTAGTTCTCACTTCAATTTGTTGTGTGATTTGAATACTCTCTTTGTCACAAAATCTCTCAAGTAGTTAATATGGTTGGCTTTATTAATTATATATTTTTTTTAATTTTTTGATGGTATTAATAAAATACTTGGTAAATAAATATATAGCATTATTTTGTATTATAACTTTGATATTTAATTAGAAAAATAGTGCACAAAAAAGATAATAGATAATGTAGTGAATATAATCAATTGATGAATTTGAATGTAAAAAATTTTAATTTGAGAAAAATAAAGACAATATAACTAATGAAAATATTTCTTGTAATTAATTTATTGATAATTAATAATTTTTTTTCACTGAATAAAGACATTGTAAGGACAATGTAGCGAATATAATTAATTAATAAATTTGAATATAAAGAATTTTTATATTGAAGAAAAATAAAGATAATATAACTAATAAAATTATTTCTCTTATTTAATTTATTGATAATAAATAATTTTTTTTAATAAAGGCATTGTGGACACATAATTCTAAATTATAATTTTTTTTAATAAAGGCATTGTGGACACATAATTCTAAATTAAAGAAATGTATATGTATTATTTTTTGTTGTAACTACTAAATTATTATTTATATAATTTAATAAGAGTAAAATAGAGTACTAATTATGCCAACTTTGATTGGGATGAGGTTCGAACCTAAGACTTTTTTTATTGAAATCAATGAGTAAGTTAACGGTGAACTAACGGCAATTCTTAAAATTTTAACGGAATTAGTAATGGTGTGTGGGTATTTTAAGAAATTTTAGTGTAAAATTTAAATCTGATCAATCTTTTAATCAATCTGAACCATTCATTTGATTAAAATCTGTGACCGCCATTTTTTCTACCCATTATATGCCTAACTCTCTTGGGCTCTTATTAGTATATAGTAGATAGAAAATGTACAAATATACCATAAAATATATATCACACTAATAAATGTATAATATCTAATGTTGCATTTTCAAATTTCAAACACTTTGTGATGCATTTATATTTGGGAAAATAACACTTTTTCCCCCTATGTTATATACTTATAGCACTTTTTCCCCCTCAATTATTTATGTAAGCACATTAGCCCCCTCAATTATTTTAAAAGTGGTGGTTTTCCCCGCTAATATATTAAATTGACATTTCTACCCTTAAAGTAAACATTTTATTTATTTTACTTCTCCAACAAATTATTGCGTATATGTAGCGATTACCACGGTTCGGTTCGAACTGAACCAGACACTATAGCAATCGAATTAAAAGTTTTCAGTTATGATTCAGATCTAGAACCCAATATTTGGATTTCAATTTATTAAATTTAAGAATAAAAAAAAAACTGGATCATGAACCGGCGGTTCCGGATCCCGTTCGCGATTTTGAACCGTCTTTATTTTAAAATTTTATTTTTTATTTTAAAATAGTTTAAATTCAACAATAAATGTATTTTATTTTTTCAGTTCGGAACATGAACCGGCCATTCCAGTTCGCGATTTTAATAAACTCTAAATATCGCATTTTGATTATAAATTGTAATTGAAATATTTTGGTTTGGTTACTATAGTATCTGGTTTGAACTAAATTATAGTAATAATTTATTGGAGAATAAAAATAAATGAAATATTTATTTTAAGGATAAATATGTCCATTTAACATTTCAGGGGGAAAAAGAGCCACTTAAATAATTAAGGGGGGAAAAGTGCCATTTTCCCTTTATATTTATATAATGATGCATGACACTGCACGGGAAGCACTGTTCGCATGGGAACCTGAACCACTTACAAGTAATAATTGTGTGGTGGCATTGCTTTATTGGAATTTGCTTATAAATGTAGTCCACTAGCCCTCAGTCCGCAGTATATTCAGCAGCAGTTAGCATTTACTTACGCAAATTAAAGCAATGGGAAAAGGCTTTAGACTTCAGATTTCCAAACTTATTTCGTCCTTCCGATCCTGCCGTTCAAAAGATCCTTCCTCTCTACCAAATAATCCTGTCCCTTTATCCCATGCCCAAAAACCTTCAATTCGCGCCACCCCCCACCTCTCCTCCGCCACTCCCAACGACCTCCGCATACGGCGGCGGGAATTCCGGTGGAGGAAAGAACAGGAGTGGCACGTTGTCGCGGTGACGACATCCCACGACAAGAAGAAAGCCACAACACCTCGTCGGAAAATCTCAAACTCCTCGCTGTACGAGGAGACTTTAGCCGCGCCGCCGCCGCCGGCGACGGAGAAACGCAACCGTCGAGCTAGAAAGAGTAAAAAAGCAAAGGCCGCCCCAGGACAGCGTACCAGCAGTTCCTCCTCCGGCTACGAAAATCGAATTGACGAAGCTTCTAGAACATTCAGGTCTTCGGCGTCGTCGGACGGCGAACTGCCGGCGCGGCTGTCGGTGTTCAAGAAGCTGATACCGTGCAGCGTGGAGGGGAAGGTGAAGGAGAGCTTTGCGATCGTGAAGAGATCGAAGGACCCGTACGAGGATTTCAAAGGGTCAATGGTGGAGATGATTTTGGAGAAACAGATGTTCGAGAAACAGGATTTGGAGCAGCTGCTACAGTGTTTCTTGTCTCTGAATACGAGGCAGTATCATGGGATCATTGTCGAGGTTTTCTCCGAGATCTGGGAGGCATTGTTTTCTACTAACAATAATAGCAGCGATGAAAGTTCAATTCTGAAGGCTCAAGGATGAAAGTTCAATTCTGAAGGCTTTACCATCCACTTGTAACGCAAAATTATAGAGAGCAATTCTAAGTTAAGGAGTACTAGATTAGCTCAAAACAAGCTTATCCTAAAAGTCTTTAAACACATCTTAATCTTCAAGAAATTAGTTAGTTGGGAATTTAAGAAATTATGAACATTCAGCATTTAGTTATATACATTACATTTTAATTTTCAATACAATACTCTAATCTCCCACTTTTAATATTGACTTTTACCTCCATATCATATAAAAAAAAAAAATGATGGACGACTTGGGTTAGGTTTATGTATAAATGCTATCATGAACCTTAGTTCATGATATAACTATTGCATGTCAAAAGGGTCTCTCCTTATTTTTACTCTTGATCATTTACAAAATTTATTCCATTCTCACATATTTTTGTATTGTATGTGTCAAGGTACATGGATTAAAAATTTTCATCATCTACATGACAAAATAAGTAAATTCCAGAATGACATCGATCAATTCATGATAACTTTCTACTTATTTTTGTATTATATCAAAGGTACATTGACCAAAAATTTTCATAATCTATATGACAAAATAAATCAATTCCAAAAGGGAAAATGGTCAAATAGACCCTCGAACTTTAGCTTAAAAGTCAATTAGGCCCCTAAACTTTTTAAAAGTGTAATTACACCCATCAACAATTCATTTAAGTGCAATGAAGCCCAAAAAAAAAAAATTAATGACATGCTATCACGGGTCATTAGGGTTCAGGCCACCTTCCGGAGAATTTTCCGGCAAAAAAAAAAAAAAAAAAAAAAAAAAAAAAGTGACCGGCGAAATTTTCGACAAAAGAAGTGATCGGCGAAATTTTTGGCAAATCTGGGTCGGTTGCTGGTCACATTTTTTTTGTCAAAAAATTTGACGGAAGGTGGCCTGAACTCTAATGACCTGTGATAGCAGGTTATTAACTTGTTTTTGGGCTTCATTGCACCTAAATGAATTGTTAATGGATGTAATTGCACATTTAAAAAGTTTAAGGGCCTAATTAACTTTTAAACTAAAGTTCGAGAGCCTATTTGACCCTTTTCTCATTCTAAAATGACGTCAATCAATTTATGATAACTAATAAATAAAAGTTAATTTATTACTACCTTAAAGAAAAAAAGATTTTACCAGGACTATGTGGTCTAATGGTATCCGGGTTGGACTTTCATTTGAAAGGTTGTGAGTTCAAGCCTCAGTGGAGGCGTTATTGGTTCTTTGTGTTTCAGTAGGTTGAGAAAGTATATGAACAGATACTACAATGTAATAGGGCCAGTAACGTTCAAAATAAAAATAAAGAAAGATTTTAGTGAAAAAATTTTTATCACTATAACCTTATCATTTTGTATTAGGTCATAAGCACAAAAAAACAAAAAAATAAAAGGCAAAAATCTTGCCTTTAGTTTTTTTTGAATGCTACTAATTCTATTACATTGTAGTATCTGTTCAAACATACTTTCTCAACCTAATGAAGCACGAAGAGTCAACAACGCCTCCACTGAGGCTCGATCTCATGACCTCCCACGTGTAAGAGGTCACTACATGCCTTTAGTTAAATAAAGTCAATTATGTTTGGTCAAAAAGTTAGATTAAAATTAGGTCCCGTTTGGTTCACAAAAAAATTTTTAGGAAAACATAATTAAAATTTCATTGAAAGTAATTATTAGGAAGATCTTCTCAAAAAAAAAAAAAGATGAATTTTATTATTTAGTTGGCGGAAAAATTTACTAGAAATATTCATTACAGGTTGGATTTAGAATTGTAAGAAATAACGAGTATAAAGACTTATATACCTTACAAAATACGGAGTAATAAAAGTAATAGCAATCAAAGAATGGACAACAATAGTAAAATTGTCAAGTCACTTCAATTTTTCTTCTCAACTCCCATGAAAAAAAAAAAAAAAACAAAATCTCATGTTCTATCAAGGATTTTATTTTTCTCAAATATGAAGAATTCATTTTTCAATGAAAAATAAAATTCATAAACCAAACACCAAAAAAACAATATTTTTCTCCACTTTAATAGAAATATTTTCTATAAAAAAATCTTTTCATCCAATCAAACATCCCCTTGGTGTAGTGATTTGACAATAGAGGAGGAGGGAGGCACAAGAAAGGGATCGGAGAAGTAAAAGATTCAACGAAAGAAATGGATCTGTGTTTGTTATGGACTGGTCAATGCTCATATATATATCATGTAGGGACAAGGTACACTTAAAAATAAAAAAACTTTTGCTTTACTGCAATTGTCATCTAATTGACAACAAAAGATGAAACACATATAATCATTTTGGAAGACCAGCACAATAATGTCATTTATGAATGATTAAGGGGTTTTCTCATGTTGTTTAGTTGTACATAGAGATTGAGAACAACACCAAAATGATTGGTGCAGTCTGTACTGAATGCGCGCATGCCTAGGTACTTATTAGTGCAAACTGAAATACTTCAACTACATTAAAATCTTGTGTTTAGATATGCTTTACTAAATACACTCTCTATCTTCAAGAGTTATATTATATTGGAAAATACTTGGTGTACTCCTATTTTATACTCTCAATTTGTACTCTTTCTCAAATGTTTTTTATGTAGATATTTTTCTGTGGACCCATATGATGAAAATAACCAAGCTTGATTTGTCACCTCAGGGAGTAGAAATGAGGGAGTAGAATTTTAGAGTCCATGTAATAAAACTCTATTATATATTATTCTAAAAATCCTATTCTCTTACTTTTATACTCCATGACGTGACTGATAATGATAGATTATTTTCATAATGTGTGTCCCAAAAAAAATATTTATATCAAAAATTTAAAAGTGAGTTGAATTTAGGAATAGAACTTAGAAGTCCACATAATAATTTTCATCGTCAAAGTTGTGTTTTACTTTTACATCGTCATATTTGAACTCTCTTACCCTCAAAAAGTAATCTCAATTTTATATCACATAACAATATAATAACAAAATAACAATAAAATAATAAATAAATTTAGAAATAAAAGTCAAAAGATTGACTGATGGTATTCTGGTAGCCTTTTGTTGGGCTTGCAAGTCACATAAGCATAAATTAGATTTAAAAATTAAAAATTGCACACAAAAAAAAAAAAAAAAAAAAAAAAAAAAAAAAAGAAGTCATCTTGCGAGGCATATGCCTAGTAAAGGATGACAAATTATGGCATCAATTAAGGTCTACCTTGCATTGTGAAATTTATTTAAAATAACCTTTAGATTATATACCTGTAATTGATATATTTTGTACCTTTAAATAAATTGAAGACACTTAAGATGTTAACTACAAACACATAATATGTTACATAACATATTATGTGTCTGCAGTTAACATATTCTGTACATGCAATTAACATTTTGTGTCTGTAGTTACCATTTTATGTATTTGTAGTTAACATGTTATGTGTTTTCAATTTATTTACAAGTACATAAACTGTTAATTATAGATACAGAATACGTCAACTGCAAACACATAATTTTGGACAAGGGTCCACAATGCAAGATGGATCCTTGTCCATGGTATAACAATTATTGACGATAAATTATACCATGGACCACACTTAGCATTGTAGACCCTAGTCCAAAATAACATTCAGATTATATGCCTGCAATTGATCTATTCTGTATCTGCAGTTAATAAATTATGTGTTTGTTAATAAATTGAATGCACATAACATGTTAACTATAGACACATAATATGTTATTTGTATGTAGTTAACATGTTATTTACCTTCAAATTATTTACATGCACATAAATTATTAACTGCAGATATATAATAGGTCAATTGCAAACACATAATTTTTGGACTTAGATCCACTAGTTGTTATACAGTGGACCATGGTCCACAGTGCTAGGTGGACCATAGTCGTCAAATGAAATTGTAGTAGAATTAAAATGATACTCTAGTGTTGCTATAATGAAACTAGTGTGTGTGAAAAAATGAAATTAAAAAACAGGGTTCATTCCACAACGTATATTGTCAAACGAAACTGTAGTATAATTAAAATGATACTTTAGTGTTGTTATAATGAAACTAGTGTGTATGAAAAATGAAACTAAAATTCAGAGTCATACAATAACATATATTGTCAAATGAACCTAGAGTGTAATTAAAATAGTACTTTAATATTACTATAATTAAACTAGTGTGTGTGAAAAATGAAACTACAAATTAAAGTCCATGCAATAATGTATATTGTCAAATAAAACTGTAGTAGAATTACAATGATACTTTGGTATTGCTATAATGAAACTAGTGTGTGGAAAATGAAACTGAAAAACAGAACAATATTGTCAAATGAAACTGAAGTGTAATTCAAATGATACTTACTTCATAGACCACACTGCTACATGCACCATAGTCCACAGTAAAATTTGCCTAGATCCACAATGCAAGATGAACCCTAGTCCATGATATAACAATTGGTCATTTGACTCTCTAGCAAACATGTCATATTAAAAGAATTAAGAGAAAGCGTCAAATGCTTCCAACTATACACGAAAGTGCAATTAGACCACTGAACTCATGAACATGCTATGACGTCTGCAATAGCAAAGCATTAAGGTTCTGACGATACGCCTGGAGTTCAGAAATTACTCCAGCAACTGACAACGATCACCGGTTACCTTTGAAGAATGCAAGTAAGCGGTCACCTTCTTCATCCGAGAAGGTGACCCAGTTGGTCGCTCATCGTAGAAGGCGATCACAGTGGGTCAGTGGTCGCCTTCACCTGGAGAAAGCGGCTACAATGGTCGATTGGGAAAGACGATCAAAAACTGTTCATTAGTCTTTTCTCTGATTATTATCAACGACAACCATCAACAATAGCTAGTAGTAGCAGTCAACAACAACTTACATATTACTTATGTTAGTTATTGGTAAATTGCACTTGTAAAGTTAAATGAAGTATTTAATCATTTTCCAAAATAATTTTTTTTAAATGATCCCACAAAAGAGGAAAGAAAGAGAATATATTAAGTGGTGACAGATCAGTGGACCCCACAAATATTTGAGAAGTGGAGAGTAGGATGGATGCCCTAAGTTGAATTTGGAGGATTTTGTGACCCACTTTCTAATGAGAAGACAATGTAACCCTTTCATGAGTTTCATCCCATCCAATTCACAAATATTTCTCTCAAGTCTAAAATATATCCTACTGTCAACAATTTTATGTCATACATTACTTGATATTCAAGACGCATGTCAACGTAATATTGTACATTGATACAGTATTTTAATAAATTCAAGTGCGAGAATCAAGAAACGACATACTACAAAAGTTTTCCAGTTTTCTTCCTCACCCAAGAATAGAATTGTAGGCATCTTCAAGTTCTTAATTTGCAGGTGGAGGTGGTGGCATTGACATTTGGTATCCACCAGTTAATTGCTGGGGAGGTGGTGGCGGCCGCCACATAGGAGGAGCACCCATTCCCATTGGTGGTGGCGGGGGCCTATTCATGGGTGGAGCTAGCTGCGGAGGTGGTGGCATGGGCGGGCCTCTAAACTGCTGTGGAGGAAAGCCGACTGTCCCAGGTTGTGGAGGCTGAGCCTGCCATGATTGCGGTGGTGGTAATTGCATTGGCGGATATGCATTAGACTGCATGGGTGGCGGCGGGTGAATTGCCTGAGCAACAGGTGGGGGAAAAGGGCCATTTGCAAAAGGCCGTGGCGGCACTGGGGCAGCAACTGTACCATTGGCTTGCGCCACAGGGGGGAGTGTCGGAGGTCCGCTAGCAAAGAGTGTATGGGGCCTACTCTTTTGGCTACTTGGATTGCTCGCAGCTAAAACTCTCTCTACATATTAAAGATGGAACAGAAAAATTAGTGGATATACTCCAAAGCTGAGGAAACTCACAACTAAAACTCTCTCCACTCTTTAAAGGTAAATGCATACATTCCCATAAGTAATAAATTCTTACCTGCAGGTGTCCCATGACGTTCACCCTTCGTATCTTTCTTGTAGGCATAGGAAACTGTAATCTGCCTGTTACAAAGATATTGGCCATTCATCGCCTGGAAAAGCACCATACAATCAGCAAACAAAGAAAAACAGGGGATGTAATTAAGTGAATTACAAAATAAAAAATAAAAGAGAGGAATTTGTGATGTGAGTTTTTTTGCGAGCACTCATGGAAAGAAAGTTCATTCTTCGAAAACATACTATATAAACATCTGAACCAGAGACAAGAATTAAATTTTAAAACGAGAGAAGTGAATCAAAGATGTCATAAAAACGCATGCCCACAAGAAAATAACCTCAATGGCAGCATCAGATGCCTCAAATGAATCATAGCTTATAAAACCAAACCCACGAGAATTCCCCGTCTCAGGGTCTCTCATTATCTGCAAATACAAAAAGGCATTATAATCAGACTAGATAAAAGCATCCAAAATATAAAATCCAATGCTGAATGAGACAAAGGTTTGATAACATCCTTCATTGAATGTAATACAGATAATATTGCAATCATATTTCATATAACTAAAAATTCTCTCCTATTATGTGAAAAGAAAATGTGATTTTTCTTTGTATATGAAAATAGAGGACAAAATAAGAAATAATTTTGCATGAGCATTTAAGTTTGCAGCTCTATATCACAGACTAAACACAGCCCCGTGAACTTATTTATATAAAAGCTTAAAATGCAAATGGGGTCAAATATATGCCATTTCATAGATTAATATCGACACACAACAAAAAAAAAAAAAAAAACAAAAAAAACAAAAAAAAAAACAAAAAACAAAAACAAAAAACAAAACAAAAAAAAAAAAAACAAAAACAAAAAAAAAAACAAAAAACAAAAAAAACAAAAAGATATCTTTAATATAGCCATAGGAATTGTTTTCAGGATGTGAAATTGAAGTCTTCTCCCTCGTAATATATATACAATTTCAAACTAAGCAAGAAGTCAAAATTTATGTTAATAAAATACAGATTATCAGAGAAATGACCTTTGGATTTGAAACAATTACTCCAAAAGCACTGAATGTGTCATATAGAAGCTTCTCATCTACGTCCTGCACAGGAAAAAAGGGGAGGGTGACTTGCATGTCTACAGGGAAGATTGTTCAAGTACAGAGATAATTTGAACTGCTTACAGGATCAAGATTTCCAACAAAGAGGTTAGCACCAACATCAACACTCTTCTTATCTTGTGATGCCTGCAAAGGAAGAACAAAGGAAAAAGAATTTAATAGTTTAAAACTCAAAAAACAAAAAATGAATAATAAGCATAAAATCCATTTGAACCAAAATTTCTATCAGAGGTTAATAAGCTACAGAAGAACAACTCACTATACCAAAATAATGAAAAAGCAGGAAGGAAAATAGTACCTTATTCACTCGTATAGGTTTCCCATAAAGTTTAATCATATTCAACACCTTTATTGCCTGAATTTCTCATAAAAAGCAATGAAAATGAGTAATAGCACATGAAGTTGATGAGTGTCACATAATATTGCCATGACAAATGGGCTACAACAAACAAAAGCAACACTTACATAGTCAGCATCTTCTTCACTTCGGAACTCTACAAAGCCATAGCCTTGATGAGCATTGGTAACTCTATCCTTGGGGACATAGACATTAACTGCAGTGGATAAATTAACTAATTTAATATAGAAAACCAAACACCCATATAAGAAAATAAAAGCATGTTCTGCTAATACTAGTTTGTGCTTGTGTACTTGAATGCACAAGGAGCATGGGGGAATAGTTGTCTTGAGTATTAAAGTTTAACCATACCAACTGGGCCTGCTTGAACAAACAGCTCCCATAATAATTCTTCTGAAACCTACAAGCAGAGAAAAAAATAGATCAGGAGAAAAAATTATTTAAGCTGAGAGAGAAAAAAGAGAGAATAATAGAGATAGAGAAGGAAGAGGAGAAACAGAACTAATTAAGTAGCTGCTGATATCAAATAAGCAAAATGATTGCAAGATAATACATGAGAAATTTCTTATAACTTCAGATTCAGGCATTCATGCTGATATGCACAAATTAAGAGCAAAACTAGGTAACAAGTCCTCCACGATAATAGAGCAAGAATCTGTTCATCAGTTCATTGACCTCCTATATGTTTTCTTGTCTTTAGCTCCTTTTATTTCCCCAACTAAAACAAATTCATATTGAAGCTACAGCTACTACTACCTAAATGCAAATGAATTCAAGCATAATTCTAACTTCATTCCTATAAAATTCAACTTTTTTCCTTACAAGTTACAACTGTTAATCAAGAATCAACTGGGTCCATCTTCATCATCATAAACTTGGCCGGGTTTACTTGTAATTCACATTGCATTTTCGCAAAACATATGCAAGACAGCTTATATAAATCAAATGCAGCTCTGCCCGTAAAGCTACTAAACAACAACATTTACTACGATTTTAAAGCGTCAACCTTCAACAGGAACCTATGGATTCAATAATACATAGCCCTACAAGTGTTAGCGTCAATGAAGAATCTAAGGGCACATAAACCCTAGAAACAAGAAATGGGGCTTTACTCAGTGTGTAGTTGTACCTAGTCAGTGCGTGAAGAGCGTAAACCCTAGAATTAGGGGAGGTAAAAAAAAAAACAACAAAACAAAACAAAAATCAAAAATCAAAAGGAGAAGAAGAACCTGAGGATCGAGGTTTCCGACGTAGGCTGTGGCGTCTTGATTGCGCTCAGCGGAATGTTGACCGAGAAGGTTTGCCCCGACTCCAGGAGCAATACGGGTCGCCATGGATGGCCCAACTCTCTTTCGCGACCTCTGTTTCGAGTTTCAGCCGCGGTGTGTTTAACGCTTGAACAGAATTTAATAAACCCCGAAGTGTGCTTGTTTGGAAATGGCGGTTTGACACTTCCTTGAGTTCGAGATTTAAGGATGCGTTTGGGAGACGTTCCAAAAGAGTTTTTTTTTTTGTTTTTTGTTGGGCATAAATTAGGGTAAGAGTTATTCAAGTGTTGTTCAATCACTATAATTGTACTAAGTTGCTTATAGTCCACTAGTATCGGGTTGTTCCTCTAGGTGGGAAGTGATAGGTTCGATATTCGATTGAGGCAAGTAGTGTATAATATAGGGTATCCGCTTTTGTATAATAAAAAAAAATCCATTATAATAATAATAATAATACTAATTAATTGAAGAGAAAATTAGTACAATTAGAATAACTCGGTTGTTTTAATTTTATCACTATTATTTTAATTCAATATTCTTATTAGCATTTGAGAGGATAAGATGGTAGTAAGATGTGATTGGAGAAATTTACTACTTCAAACATAGTTTTTCTCTCAATTGGTAAGATACACAATAACATTAATCAATCAGCGAGCTCACGCTCTTGCTAAAGCAGTTGTTGTTTCTCGTACGGGTCCTTATTTTTGGAAGGGTGACCCTCCGGCCTTTATTCGTGACTTCTTGAATTAATGCAATTGCTTTGGTGTTGGCTTTCAAAAAAATATCATAACTACCATTTCAATCATTCCAACCACATCAAACTTACTATTCTAACAAAACAAGCCTTATGGTATTTGTAGGAATAGGAAACTTAGAAGGATGAATTGTTTTAAAAAGTTAAGGCCAAAACAAATATCCCTGGCAGCCTTTGAGTTCTGTATGCCCTTCTCACTAAAACATCCTGCAAATACTGTTGCCACTGGCCTTTGGTCTCCCTGGTAACAATCTTCATCCACTATCTCTGTTTGTACCTTAAAATAAGCTATGGCTTTCTACTTCAGCCTCTCCACAACTTGTACATCTTCGACTGCCTCTTCTTTGTCTCATCATCTTTAATCTTTTCCAAGCCGAGCTGCTCCCCTAGAGTGCTCCAAGCCTTTTGTAGATTAGGCGGGAAGTTCTTCGTCCCCGTCCTAAGCAACCCCCGAGCCTCTTTGCGTCTCGATTCCTTTGCCAATCCTTCAAGCAGAGGCTTCAAGGTATAGAAATTGGACATCCTGCGACTCCTCACGCTGTGCATGAACACCTTGTACCCCGTCACAAACCGCCCCTTCTCACACAGATAATGGATCAATGCCCCGTAAGTTGCAGAGTTGGGTTTACCACCATTCCGTTCCAAATCTCGGTATACCTTCTCAGCTTCGTCCATCATTCCGTTCCTACAATAGCATATCATCAAGTAATTATAGCTAATTGTGTTTGGTTCAACCCCTGCAGCTTTCATTTCCTCAATCAAAGCCTTCACGCCGGCAGGATCTCCGCCATGGATGTTAAAAAGCTTGACATTGTAGGCGCCAACATCGCGAGCAATCCCTCTTCTCGCCATGTCCTCCCAGGCCTTCTCAGCATCATCGCTCCTCCCTGATTTATACAGTGAATGTAATATAGCCGTGAAAGTGATTGGGGTAATCTCGATACCTTTCTCTTCCATCTCGTTCAGTCTCTCAATGGCCAAGTCGGGCGACCCCACCTCGCAATAAGAATTGATCAGTATACCGTACGAAATCTTATCAGGCGAAATGCCGTACTTGTTAGGAATTTCGTCGAACAGTTGGGGGACGCGATCGCACATCCTCGAGTTAACGCAGGCGGTGAGAAGGGCGTTGAAAGAGAGCGAGGACCTAGGGGTTCCCAGTTCGTCCATTTGCTCATACGTGCTGCGCGCTCTATCGAACATTCCGACGATGCCATAAGAGCGAATTAGGGCGGAAAGGAAGGGCTCCTGAGTGACTTTGGGGTCCTTCTTGTGAGACTCGAGAAGCGTCTCAATTTCGGAGAAGCGGCACGCCCTGGCCAGACGCCTCACGGTGTAGGTCTGGACGAGGCGGGAGGCACCTCGGGAAGCGGAGTAGCCGGAAATGGAGGAGTAGATCTTTAAAGCCTCGTCGGGGTCGTGTTCGCACCTGAGTTTTGACTTCGCTTGGGAGATGGTGATGGATGCGCCGGCGGCAGCCGCCGCCGCCGTCGTTGATAGGTGGCGAGCGTAACGTAAGGCCAGGGAAGACATTGCTCAGACACGGGTTTTGCAGGGTTTAGGGTTCAGAAGAAGAAGAGACGATGATTCATGGAAGTATAGACTTTGTTAATAATCAAGTGAAAACAGAAAAAGAGACCATCTTTAGACATGAACAACTCAATTGGTCGCAGAGTGAAATTTGTAACAAAAAAAATTATGAATCCAGTTTTATTAGTCACTTGAATCATTATAATTAACTCATCCACAAACTATAAAGACGTCTAAGGTGGGCAATTTCACATTTTATCATAAGAAATTAGAATAATTATAATATCATTATTATGTTTCTTAACAAAGGTGCTGCGTTATCATTTTAGTTATGAAATATAGAGGAATTAAAATTGTAATACATTTTTTTTTGGTTATATATTATACTACTAGTAGTGAAAATAAGTGTCCAATGTATTTATCAAATATTAAAATAATGTATATATTAAGATAGATTCAAGAAAATAATGAAAATCAATAAACAAATTTTCTAGAATTAAAAACATATAAATTTGTATATAATAATATATTGAGTTAACCAAAGGTGTTAATAGAGTCAGTAAGATTTTAAGCAAAAAGATTTAATAGAAAAATTATTGAATCTACCAAACTACATTAGTTTCAAAATTAATTGAGAGCAAATCGAGCTAACTTGGTTATGTTGTTTTCTTGGTAACAACAATATTCTAAGAGCATCCATATCAGTTGGAGATATTAGGGGGAGGATGTAAGAGTGAGTAGGAAAGAGAATAATGTGGGAGGGGAGGGAAAAAAAAAATCAAAACTGATTTTATAAAAAAATATATATAAAAAATAAGCATGTCATTTCTCTATTGATTCTCTTTCCTCCATCATTAATTTTTTTCTTGGGCAGAGTAATATCCCAACATTTGCAGATGCTCCCCACCCCTTCTCTCTCTTGATTCTCTCTCTGCCACCATGGCATTTTGACCTCAAAAGTAGTGAATTCTCCCCCATTTCTCCTCTGATGTAGATGCTCTAAGAGCATCCCCATTAGGGGGATTGTTCACAGCTTTTAATAAAAAATTGTCATTTTGAATGAAAGAGAAGCAAGTAATAGAATGCTAGAGGTCCTCCTGCAAATAATGAGATTTTTGTGGTCGCAAAATAAAGGTAACAATTGGTTATTCTTTTTTTCTTGCATTAAAAATCTATTTTCATTTTATTTTTTTACTTTTTTTCTTTTTCTCTTACCTCCTCATCTCTCCTTCTTGGCACTTAAAATACCACACCAAAATCTCCACTATTGAGGATGCCCTAAGGGTCCGTTTGAAAAGCAGGAAAATGACTTCTGGAAAATGATTTCTGGAAAATGAGTCATTTTCCGGAAAACATTTTCCGTTTCCAGTGTTTGGTTACATTTGGAAAACTGTTTTGGTGTGTTTGGTACATTTTCTGGAAAATGAGTAGAATGGTATTATTAAATATTTTAATTATTTTATTTTAAATTAAAAATTCATTTTAAATCTTAAAAAAAAAAAACAAAACAAAACAAAAAAAAAATTGATTTCCGGCGGAAACCAGTTGAAACCATAGCTCTGGTTTCTGGCGGAACAGTTCCGCCAGATTTAAAAAAAAAAAAAAAAAAAAAAATTGAAAGAGAAAGGCGGAAAACGACTTCCGCCCAAATTTGGCGGAAGTCATTTTCCGCCAAATTGGGCTCATTTTCCCCAGTCAACGGAAAATGGATTCCGTTTACTGGATTTTCCAGGTGTAGCCAAACACCAAAAACTCGGAAAATGACTTCCAGAAGTCATTTTCCGGGTCTCCAAACACAGCCTAAGTTTAACTTCTAGTAGAAGTGACTTAGGGTCCGTTTGGAAACCTATAAAATATTTTCCAGAAAATGAGTTATTTTACAGAAAACATTTTCATTTCTAGTGTCTGGATGCACAACAGAAAATTGTATTTATGTGTTTGGTTCATTTTTTCTGAAAATGAGTAGAATTATATACTTCAACATTTTAATTGTTATATACCAAAAAAAATTATTTTGCTATCTATCTATAAAAAAATCAAATAAAATAAAAATATATATAAAACACACACACACACACACACACACACACACACACACACACACACACACACACACACACACACACACACACACACACACACACACACACACATATATATATATATATATATATATATATATATATATATATATATATATATATATATATTGATGGTTTTATTAGGACCGGGTCCACCATAAACCGGGTACAGGAGTACAGAACAGGGGGTAGGGCGCTAGGCCCAACGCGATGCGTATAGAAGCTCGAGGTACAGGCCTAAGAACAGCGACCCAAATACAAAAAACAAGGCCCACAGGACGGGCTATAGCTGACTATGCTACTGATAGGAATCGAACCCAGGTGTCTGAATTGAGAGTATGAGATCAAGACCACTAGACTAGTGTGTCTGTCGTGTCTGAGTTGCCCTTAGCCAAAGATCCAGGACCCCTATTTATAGCAAGCCCTCATCCCCCTTTGGCGTCCACGTGTCCCACGTTGCCACTCCCCACTCCGCTTGTTTGTCGCCATCTACGTCACGTTCTCCGTCCTTCCAGGATTCCCGCGCCCTTGCCACCTTGCTCACACCACCCCGACACACCATGCTCGGCGCACCCACCCGCCCGACACCCTGGCGCGCCAGAGCGCCGCGGGCACGCTCCGGGCGCGCTAGGTGTGCCGCGGCCGGCGCCCCTTTCGGCCACCAGCGCCGGCCCCCCGCCCGGCGCCAGCTACGGCCACCCCAGCTCGGTGGGGCGATAGGGCCACGCTGGGGTCACGACCCCCGGCCGGCGCCGGGCAGTGCCGGCGGCCCCTCCTGACTCCCGGCCCAATTTCCTTGCCTCCTGTCGGCCCAGTCTCCTTGCTTTCCCCTGTTGGCCCAATAACGTAGGCTCTCTGCGCGCACGGCCCACCTCCAATATCTCCATCATATATATATATATATATATATATATATATATATATATATATATATATATATATATATATATATATATATATATATATATATATATATTTATATTTATATTTATTTATTTATTTATTTATATTTAAAAAATATTAAACAAAAATCAGAGGAAATCTCTGGTTTTCGCACTGGAAACCAGGAACTCTCTGGTTTCCGCACTAGAAACCAAGGAACTCTCTGGTTTCCACAGTAGGAAATAGAGTTCCTCGTGAACTCTCTGGAACATCATTTCTCACATTCTCTGATTAGAGTTCATGACTCATCGCCAGATGTTTTTTTTTTTAAGGTTTTCAGCGGAAACCAGTGGTCTGGTTTTCGCCGAAAACATTGTTGTATGTTTGGCGGAAAATGACTTCCGTCAAATTTTGCCTTGATTTTTCCCAGTCAACGAAAAATGTCTTCCGTTGAGTGGATTTTTCAGTTGCATCCAAACATGGGAAATCCGAAAAATGATTTTCAGAAATTATTTTCCAAGTTTCCAAACAGTCTTATTTTCCGAGTTTCCAAATGGCAGGATTGACCCACTATTTGTCTAATTATTATTTGAATTAGATTATGCTAGTTTGGTAAAATATAGATCTAATCGAACTGATCCAAATAATACAAATATTTGTCCAACCCGACCCTATATTTCAAAAAAAATATTAAAATATGAATTGGGTTGAGCCAAACTATTACATTTATCAATGCATTATTAATATTAAATATATGAGTTGGGTGGGAACGAGCATAGCCAAATAATAAAAATCTTAGTTCTACTCCGCTCACAATCGTTATATTATAGACCGCGGTGCATGTGCACCGCGGTAAAAAATGGCGTCGTTTCTTTAAGTAAAGAAACGGCTCGCCGTTAGAGTTAACGGAGTCCGCTTGTTTGGTGTATTAAACACCAACTGACACTATAGTATATCTAACCGACACTGCAGTTATATCAAAATGATACTGTAGTTATAGTGAAATAAAACTGCAGTGTATATAAAATGAAACTGAATAACATTTCACATATTTGAGTGTATATTGTACAATGAAACTGTAATTATATCAAAATGATCATGTAGTTGTGTTTTAATGAAACTATAGTGTATATAAAATAAAATTAAATAACATTTTCACATATTTGAGTCTATAAATATCGAATGAAACTATAATTATATCGAAATGAAACTGTAGTTGTGTTGAACTGAAACTGCAGTGTATACAAAATGACACTAAATAATAAAGTTACTTTTTGCAAAAGGGTACGAAACGGCGGAAACAAACACTGTTTATTTTCATTTAAAAAAAAAAAAAGACGCGCGGTGCATAATATAATTTGCCCTCCGCTCAAAAAACAGTTCCCCACCCGAATTTAAAATATTAGTTTTTTTTCTTTTCTCACTTCGAATGGCATTCCGAAGCTCGGAGTCCGATACCCTTTTTGGATACAAATTTGGATTTCGTGTCGATCGGGTTTTTCCATTTGGACGAGTTTTGCACAGCCAATAGTCGCATGAGACCAAAAGTCTCAATTTTCCTTATTTAATTAAACAATCAAAATAAATAAATAAAAAGTTTAAATTTAATTTTTGACTTTAAAAAGTAAAAAAAAATTCAAAATTAAAAATTAGAGTGCAGGATTATGCCATTTTCCTTCACTCTCGGGGTACAATATTGTACCCCTTTCCAATAACTAATTTTCATTGGAATTAGGAGATAGTGCCATTTATTTTACTACGTAATAACTAATTATTAATGCCTTAACGCGTGAATTAGTAAATTTCATGCCAAGAAAAAAAAAAAATTGACAAACATGTAATTGCAATTATGATTACAGCAATCTATTCAAACAAGTAACAAATAGTAATATGATTACACAGCAATATTTCACCATCAAGATCTTTTCAACAATTGTAAATCCAAATGCAAAGAAAACAGAAAAGGAAAAAACATATGCTCTATAGTATTATACACTGATATTTATATAATAATACATACGATGAGATGTGTAAGGATAAAAAATAAAGCCCTAAGAAGCGCAATTAAGCCCGAGGTTTTGAGGCGCAATCTACTTAAATAACTGGATATGAGAACCAGGAAGAAGATTGTAAAGTAAAAAATTTAAAGCCTGGCATGGCAATATGGCATAGTCCAGCAATTGAAGGGCAAGGCCAAGACATGTGGTTAGGCATACAGTCTCAAGTTCAACTCCTTGGCGTTCAGTTCAGTTGTCAAAGATTACAAACCCACTTGATCGCGAGAGAGACATTAGATCGAGTTTCTCTACCACATAAGAGTATCTGACTACCTAGCTAGGGAGCTAATGTAAAACTAGCCATCGTACTCTCCCTGAGAGAACTTGTTCTCTGGATAGAAGATGGCAACAACAACATTGCCACCGAATTTTCTGCCGTTCAGTCCTGACAAAGCTTTTTTACCACTTTCAACATCTGCATACTCCAAAAACACCTGCAAATAAAATGAGGGAAAAAAACAAGGTTATAGCGACTCCACACAGCACTTCAGAATTACGGCAACAGAAATTCTGCACATAAGTCTACCTTTCCAACTCCTGGTGAAGGGCTGCCATTTGGGTTTGGGCGGGGAATAACAACATTCACCAAATCACCTGTAGAATGACAACATAAAAGTTGAGATCTACATCAAATCAAATGAGGGATAAAACAAATTTCAGAAAATTAGAGATCAGGGGGTTTTGTGAGCTATATACTATGGCAAATCCAATATAGATATCTTGTGAAGACAAAAGGCAATTTACAAGCACAGTACAAAAAATGAAAACAACATTGGCAAGAGACCACGGAGATCAAAGTAGACACTGATAACAGGAACAACAACCCTCGTTAACAAAATTGACATACCAAACTTCCCACATTCCATTTTAATGTCTTCCAATAAATCTGCATAGTTCTCATCATCTTTGAGCTCTTCTTCATCTACCATCTGCGTTAGGCACACAATCTTCGTAGATGGTGGCCCAGGTTGTTGTAGCATTAACCTCTACAAATGTACATGCATGGCCAAAGATAAGTAATCAATATCAATCAATATATATATATACTTAAGTAGTTCACTGTTAGGTCTGCAAAAGTTAAGGCATAATTACAGATAAATCTCTTTGTTTTACTTAACAAATATTAGGGATCTTAACTGATATTTGTGTAAATTATTTTCACAAACAGGACACCTCCCTAAGTTTCACATTGATAATCTAGACAAGTTTAATGCTATAATTATACTATATATGAATATATGATACTTGAGTGTCCCTGAATTACACATGGCTATTTGCTCAAATTACTCCATATATTTTAAAACAAAAGGGAGTATCCTTATTTTTGAAAAATAATATTGAATTGAATTATTTCTCAAACAAAATGAATATAGTATATTTGTGTATTTGAATTATTATTATTTTACAAAAAAGCAGGAATACTCTATGTTTGATATGTTTTCCTACCTAAAAATTAATAATAAATGATCAAAATATTTACATTAAATTTTCAAATATGTTTGATTTATTTTTTATGCACACACACCACTTTGTTTCAAACATATATCAAATGATTATATCACAACAATTTCACTTCTGCAGAGAATAGAAAGTCTAAAAAGAAAAAGGGACCATATAATATCAATTGTGTAGTGTAGTGTAGTGTAGTGTAATTTCACTCTATTTTCCATCAAAACTAGAGTCATGTTCCTTAATTTAGTAATTATAAAACATATGTCAATTTTAGGGCAAAATTTATTAACGAGAAACACTAGCCAATATCCAACAGGAAATATTAGTGCATTGCACAGGTCACATTAAATTAATTAAATAATTATTTAAATACAATGGCTTAAAATTCTATAAGTAAATAGCAAAGTATCTCACCTGCATAGCTATCTGTTGCTGTGCATGTAACAAGATACTATCTTGCTCAGGTTTAGGCTGTGTTGTACCTTGGTTAGCACGTCTGACGGTGAGAGTTTTATCGCCCATTTTAATCCCATTAAGAGCTGCACAGGCAATGTCAGTGACTGAGACATCCCGGTAGACACAGAAGGCATAGCCTTTTGAGTTTCCAGTTTCTCTATCTTTCACAAGATCAAATCCTCGTAGAGGGCCAAAAGACTCAAGCAATTCCCTGATTTGTGCTTCTGTGAAATAATAGGGAAGACCACCCACAAAAATACGGTCAGGACCTTCAAGCCCTCCAGCAGAACCAGGTGCTAATCCAACAGCTGCAAGATTGAGATTAGGGTTTGGTAGACTAGGACCAAGAGTAGCTGCCAGTGAGGGGTTGTAATCACTGGGTCTTCTGATCTTAACTGGTCCCCCCTGGGTTAAAAATAAACAATTAGAAAAAGTAGATATAAAAAAGAAAAAAGCTATTATCCCACTCCAAGTTAAGAACGATATTTATTATCCAGCATACAGCATATCCACAGGAATTCTGACAGCATAAAATCATGAAGAAAGATATGATCAGCGAATCTTGAAATTAAGAATAGAGGATTTATTCTTAACTTCAAGGGGCAATGCTGCTAATAAAACATGTTTTGAAACAAAAGCACTATTTGCAATCTGAATGAATTCTTCAGCAATTCAGAACGTAATCAACAAGTCCAAGCTGAATAACGAATATGCAATGTGGGCCTTACCTCAAAAATAATGCCATCCAAAGCCATGGCATTACTGGCTTCCTCAACAGATCTCATCTCAACAAAAGCAAACTTCTTCTCATGGTTTATATAAACATTCACAACAGCATCGCCTGAAAATGATGAATAATCTTAGCATCTGAAAAGAATATATAGAATTAAATAACTATAATCAAAATTGGAGATATAATTAACCAACCAGGGCCGGCACTGTTTCCTCCAATTGCAGACATAACATGACTAAAGAAGGTTGCAATAGACTGCAAGAAAATGAGTAGAGTCAAATTCACAATTTCACATTACAGAACATTTAAATACATAATAGCACATTTCACTGAAGAAAAGATGAAGCCGACGACAAACCACAAGTGCTGATGCCAAAAACAATACAAGTATACAACTAAAATGTACAATCACGAAAAACACACCATGTACAAGGAAAATGCTGTAGCATATAAGAACAGTAGATGGGTCTTGTAATGTCATGAAAATATAAAGAAACCAAACAGATAAACTGAAGTCACTGGTGAAAAAAAAGGTGATGGTATCGAGCAAAACCAGTGGGAGTATAATACCTGCTCATTTGCATTTGGAGGAAGTCCTCCAACATAAACTCTCCGAGCATGTCTGGTTGCCTGATAATGTGACATCTGAAGTAAGACTTCCTATAACAAAGGAGACAACTAATATATACAAGTAAAAAAATGAGAGACAACCTGTTGAGTCATTGCTTGAACAGGCATCATAGGAAGAGCCCCAAACTGCTATTAAAACCCAATAAATGCAAAATTAAAACAGTGAACCAAAAAGTCAGCACATATCTTCACATGTAGAAGGAAGAGTAACCTGTCCTGGTGCCATGGGAAACACATTAGAGAACATTCCAGGAATGGGTGGGCTGGTACCAGGAACCTGGCCTGCAAAACAGGGTGAAGTTATATTGTTATAACTCAACAGCAAAAGTGACAACAATCACCTGAACTTCTATAATAATAAATATAGTCCAACACATTAATATATGTTTCTTTTGATATAATTTACTGTCTTTCATTCTAGAGTCTATACTAATTCATTAAGAAAAGGGAAAAGGGAAATTCAGGTATGGATGAGAATATTTGTAAAGGTAGCAATCAAGTGATTCCTGGTGGAGAATGAAAAAAACCTGTATTGATTCTTCCTTGTACATAAAAGCTACAGTAGTCAGCTCACACCCATTGTCAGCACAGTGGGGCAAGTAGCCCAACATTGCCTTCTTAGAGCATAAAGCCAGACAAACAAAACAAACAAAGAAACACCAAACACAACAACAAACCAAAAGTCCTCTCAGTTCCGGAGTTATTTCACCAAGAAAATAATAAAGAATAACTCAACAGTCAATCTAGTGACTAGGACACCATACCAAATAGCCTACAAAGAAATTATAAAATGCTTACCAAAATGAAACCATGCATTTTGAAATGGACTTCCACACTATTTCCTAGAAAAACATGACAGTTATCAAGAAAGAGTAATTTAAAATAGTAATGATATTTGTACCTGGAGCAGCAGTCGCACCAGGCAACATTGTAGCAGAAGGAGGTGCCATATCAAAACCACTGATCCTTTTACTGTAAAGAAGAATCATCGATAACAGAGACAGAGAGAAAGCAAGATGCAAAAAGTTAAAAGCCATAAATAGAACAATATGAATAGTTTTACAACCCAAATATTCAATGAGTTATGCACAAGAAGAGAGGTTGAGGCAACTTCAATATGTTAAAGTTATCAAAGATAGTAAGGAATGCTAATAACATATCAATGGTAGATGATCTATTAATTATCCTTGGTAAGAATTGGATGCAGCAAATTGAAGATCATAAACACAAACAATTCTACATTTGAAAAGTGAAAAACCTCCTATAAGCACATTACATATTATCAGAAAAAAATCAATATCTAGAGGAACGTACAGTATTTTTTGCATGTAGCTATAAGCCTATAATGTGTTAGTATTTTTAAAAACACAAATTCATTAATAAAATCAGAAGTAAAAAAATAATAGTAGTCCAGTAAATCAGTAATGGCATTTCCTTTATAAGTTTGGACTTTGTTTATTTCATCAAACCTGACAGATCAGTAGAGATTGACCTCAGTATGACTTAGTTTCTGAATTTTATACACAAAAAGAGTAGTGCAATATAGATATTAATATAACAAAGAGCATTGCCTGTTTGTCTGTACATATAACTAAAGAAAATGAAAATAGAAACCCAAATAAACGAGGTAAATGGACAAGCAGAAGAGTAATATGACCAAAAACCAGAGCTTACCTTTTGGAGCGAGAAGGTGATCCTGAATTTGATTTATGCTTAGATCTATCTTTGGAGCGAGATCTGGACCTACGTTTGTGTCTATCCTCTCTATCTCTGTCGTAATCCCGTCGCCTGTAAAACCAGTCAAATCCATATCTTCAGTCATTTATTACCTTAAACTATTAAGTTAGTGGCAAAAGATATAGAGAGCAGGGGATATTACAGCTGATGATTAAGAAGCGCATGATAACTAAGTGTGATATTTATAAAAAGCAAAGACCAAGCACAACAGCATCAATATGATAAATGAATTAGTAAGAACCAAGGTTCTTACCTGTCTCTGTCACGACCTCTGTAGTTACCATCATCTTCTCTATCTCTAGTCCTCTCCCTCTCCCTTCTTTCACCTCGATCCCTATTGCGGTCTCTGTGGTGGCGATCAATGTACTTTTCCCTGTCCCTGTCTCTCCCTCTATCTTGATCTCTATCACGGTCCCGATCTCGCCCTTTTTCCCTTTCCTTGTCCTTGCTTCTAGACGATTCTCTTTCTTTCTCATAGTCACGTGAACTATGCTGGAAGGCACAAAACACATTGAACAACAAACAATTAGCAAATGCTATTAAAACAAAACAGCCAAAAATGAAACAACAAAGAAGAAGGAAATGGAGGATATAGCATAAAAATCAAAAGCAAAAACCAGGAGAAACCAAGCTATAGTAGCCAAATAACACCACTACAGACATCTGCTTAAAGCAAACAACAAAAAAAGCAGAATTATATGCATAACATGTCCCAAAGAAGCTGAACCCATAATGGCTCTTTCATTATTTCAGTTCACTTCCTTTTTTTCTTTCAACCATAAAAGTTGAGAGCAAAGAAGACTAGCTTCTGTGCCAAAATGAGACCATGTGAACCACAAAACTAGTAGGATTTATGTATTTCAATAATTCAATCAATGTCACATTCACCATAAATTATCTCACAAGGTCTTGTGATCCACAGTTGTATTAGTTGACTTCACAACGCATAATAAAGCCCTAAAACCGAATAATTAGAGCACGAAATTCAGTAACCAGAACAGTGACAAGTACACCGCACTATTAAATTGGATCGGCACCTAATCGAATTACCAAAATCTGACAACTTACAATGGTTGGAGTCTAATATCAATCAATGATTTACGATACAAAGCATAATTTCAACCCTGCAAACGATGCTTGCGAGATATATACAGTAAACAACACCTGAGACTTGGAGTCGCTGTGTTCTTCGGCGCCACCGTAGAAGGCGGCGGTTTTGGGCTGAGGCGAAGCTCCGTAATTGTCTCTATTGTGGCCTACATCCTCTCCATTGCCGTCATAGTCTGTCATCTTTTACTGTTCCTGCGCCTTTCACTCCCCCTTCAACAGCTTTCTCTCGAGTCTAAGATGCCAAGCAACTGAGTTTGTGAAGTTAGGGCTTGCAGAGAGATTTCACCGCTTTTATCAATTTATTACGGAGTATTATTTATATATTTTTATTTTTATTTTGTTACCAGTCAATTTCTTTTCCTCTTTTTTTTTTCCATCTTTGCTTTTATTAAGTTTTTAAAAATGCTCCTTCAAAAAAAAAAAAAAAAGTTTTTAAAAATGTTTTAATTACCCTAAAAATGCATAAACTTTGTATTAATTATTACAACTAGATTCTAAACCATTTTTGTCTCGATTTATGTCTATTTGTAATCATTAAAGAAAGATATTAGTTAGAGGGAGTTTGGTTCAAATATTAGAATAAAAATTGTAATTGAAATTAAATATTTGGTAATTGTAATTAGTTTAAGTGAAAAAATGGTAGAGTAAATAGGAATCGAAATTGAAATAAATAATTAATTAATGAAAATAAATACATATATAAAAATATATAAATAATATAATACATATATGTGTGTATATACAAGGGCGGATCTACAGTGGGGGTAATGGGGGCCCCACTCACTCCACCTCCACCCTATATATAGCCCTTGTATGTATATATGTATATATAGTACATGTTTTACATATCTAAATCTAAAAACATAATAAGTCTCAATCAGAGTTATATCCCTCATTTATGTCCATGTTTTTAATGCTAATTATTCTGTACATTATGCTTTTAGAGTTGTACTATATAAATTTTTGGACAAAAATATCTCTATCGTTATAACTTCTGTTATCTTTTCCATTATTGTTATCATGCACATGCATCCACCATATATTTTCTTATATTCTTTAATGATAATAATATTTGTAGACATTATATATTGGATTATTATAATAAACTAGTATTTATCCCGTGCGATGCACGGAAAATATGTTATAAAAAATACCCTATATGAGGTTTATTCATATATAAAATTTTTGTTATTTAATAATTATTATGTCTGAATTCCTATTATATAATTATGAACATAAATATATTTACAATTAAAATAATATTTAAGGTGGGTGATTACTACAAATCTTAAACTATATTAAAAATTTAGTACATAGTATTTAATATTACAAATTTTTAAGAACTTAGTAAAGTACAATAGTAATTGAATTACAATTTTAGAGTCACCACGGATCAAAATTTTTAGACCTTTGAGATTTCTAACTCTAGATGTAGCAACATACAATTGACATTTAAAGACCAAAATCACAATCTTAGTTCGAACATTGATTTTTTCTTCCAAATACTATCGAATTAAGTGTGTAATCAATAAAAGATGAGAACTAATAATTCGAGAATATAATCTTAATGTTACTAAGCCTACTTTACGTCAATTAAGTTGGAGAGTGTTGTTGGATAGTATCCGATGAATCCACGAATGACGCATCTTTGTCTCCGTAGTCCTCAATATGCACATCAACAATCTTAAATATTTGGCCGCCTAGCTATGCCATATATTAATTTCAAACTTATGAACGTTGGGGTTGCATGCAATAAAAAGTATATATTTTAAATATACTAAGGGTACATTATATATGGAGTTAATACCCAAAATGGTCCCTCGACTATGCCATAATTACCAATTTGATCCTCAACTACCATTCTTACCCAATTAAGTCCTTAACTATGTAACTTTTACTCAATTAAGTCCTCAACTATACAATTCTTACCCAATTTAGTCCTCAACTATACAATTCTTACCCAATTTAGTCATCTGTATTAATTTGACTGTTTGTTGACTGTCAAAAGTCAGGATAAAATTATAATTTTACAAGATTTCTCCTTCCTCTCCATTTAGCAGCACCAAACCATGCAGCAATACACTCCGATCAGATTTCGATCGTCAAAAAATCGTTGGAAATCAAATTCATGGGCTATCCGATGCATAACCACTACTTCGATACTGACAGGTTTAGAACCCAACCGGAGCTTATTGCTACATGGTTTGGCGCTGCTAAATGAGGAGGAAGGAGAAAACTTGTAAAATTACAACTTTATTTCCACTTTTGACAGTCAACAAACAGTCAAATTGACAAAGGACTAAAGTGGGTAAAAATTGTATAGTTGAGGACTTAATTGGGTAAGAATGATAGTCGAGGACCAAATTGGCAATTACGACATAGTCGAGGGACTATTTTGGGTATTAACTCTTATATATGTATGTAAGATACTTTCACTGTAAAAATAATGTATTTTTAATATATTAAAAATGTATTTGATATTCATGATCCATACAATTATGTGGACCATCGTTCACACAATAATTTGCCAGTAAAAATTGAAATATAAATAAATATAATATATATATATATATATATATATATATATATATATATATATATATTAGAAATTGTCAGTGGAAGTTATTATCATTATTATTATTGCAATTATTATTATTATTATTATTATTATTATTATTATTATTATAATTAACAATATTATTATGGTCTTGTGAAAATTAAATGTTGATTATCACCATTTAATTTTCACAAGACCATATGACTTTATTATATATAGGATAAATTTGATTTCATATAGATTTTAGTTAGTAGGGATTTGTTAGTTATTTTAAAAGATATAAATATTGGACATATATTTTTGCGCATCGCGCATAAAAAAAAAAAAACTAGTAAATATAAGAAAACTGATGAAAGTAAACAATAGGTAAGTTAAATGAGTTGGTAGAGCTGCATTTAATGTTAGGAATGGTCTGTGATTCAAATCTCATATCTCTAAATATATATAATTTGTGAATATAAGAAAACTGATGAAAGTAAACAATAGGTAAGTTAAATGAATTGGTAGAGCCTAGGAATGGTCTACGGTTCAAATCCCTTATCTCTTAATAATATATATAAGTGTTTCATTATTTTTCCAAACTATAATGTTTTGCCCCCTTCATGGGGTGAAAGAAAAATAAAATGAAACACTTAGAGGCCGAGCCATAAATATTGTTGACTAGGGATAAAAAAAATACAATAAAACAAGAAACAAAAACATAGTTCAAATAGAAATTACATTATAAATCAATCATCTTACTATTAATATTTAAAAGAAAGCCCCAATGTTGTTACATATAAAGGATCCAATTACAATTAAAAATTAATCTCATACGTCACAATTATAATCTCACTTTTAATATTCAAAAAGGTCAAAAAATAAAATTTAGAAAATCAATAATGCCCTCTAACACAACCCTAACCATCTAAGCTAACACATCATCTGGTTCAACTTACATCTCTTTTTTTTTTTTTGAATGCTACTGACTCACTTTCTCAACCTAATGAAGGTCAAAGAGTCAACAACGCCTTCACTGAGACCCGGTCTCATGACCTCCCACACGGAAGAGGCCACTACACGCCATCTAGCACAAGGTGCTTGGCAGGGACTAAAGAATTTAAACCAGGTATAATAAACAAACATGATAATAGGTATCAAATTTGATTGTATGGTATAAAAGTTACTAACCAAACATCACCTTAATGGTATTTATCAGCATGGATTTGTACATGTTATATTTCAATTATTACTTAAGTTTATTGAGTTTGGATTTGACTATTTAACTATTTTTATAGAGTAAAAGACATTTTTGGTCCTAGACTTATAGTGACACGGACAATTTTGGTCCTTAATAAAAAAATTAGACAATTTACTGTACTCAGAATTAGTGGTGGCAAAGGGAGGATCTAAGACTGGCAAAGGACAGGGGTTAAGAAGAGCCATTGTTGAACTGGACTCAGAATTAGTGGTGGCAACCATGGATAGGGACCACGTGGTTTGACCTTCCTCCGTTAAGTTTAAACCATCTCCTTGCAGCTGACGCCTTTGGGGCAAGCGCAGCGAGAGTTTGGTAGTTGTTTCCCTTTTTCCCGTTAGATATGGGTCTTTTTCCACAAAAAAAAAATAATAATAATAATAATAAAATTGGCAATCCAGTTAAATATTTAATTTATTTAGTAAACATTAAACTTAAGGGTAATAATGTAAAATTGGCTTGTTGTTGAAATGGATAAATTGGGTTCATAAACTTAACACAGTTGATTCGTCATTAGTGGGAATGTGAAGAACCAAATTTTTTTCCATTATTACCCTTAAATTTAATGTTTACTAAATTGATATTTAACTGGCCTAGAGGACCAAATTTAGAACAAAATCAACCGTCAATGACCATTTATGCTCAAATTATAAGTCGAGGATGAAAGTTGGTAAATGTCAATAGTCAATGAACTACTTATATAGTCCAATTAAAAGTCGAGGATAAAAATTAGTAAATATCAACAGTTAATTGATCATTCTTGAAAGAGTTAATACCAAGAATGATGGGTAGTATTTCATTTAGTCCTGGACTCTCAATTCGACCACAATGCATACCTTGACTTTCATTTTTAACTACTAACAGACCTAAAAAGAGCATAATCTTAAAAAAACATATGCTTTTAGGAGTGGTACTCGTAGTGTGCGACGCCGGCGAGATCGGATGCATCGGATCACAAGTACAAGGCCGGAGATGTTGTCCCTCTCTACGCCAACAAGGTCGGGCCATTCCACAATCCAAGTGAAACATACCGCTATTTTGATCTCCCCTTCTGTTTTTCATAGCGTGTGAACGAGAAAAAGGAAGCCCTTGGTGAAGTCTTGAATGGCGATCGTTTGGTCAGTGCCCCTTACAAGCTTGACTTTATGTATGACATGGACTCGGAAATAGTTTGCAAGCTAGAGGACACTGTCACAGAAAGAAGTTGCACAATTCCGTGATGCTGTTGCCAAGGATTACTACTACTTCCAAATGTACTACGATGATATGGGGTTTTGTTATCTTTTTAATATGGGGTTTTGTTACATCACCATTGCTGGTGTTGGGAGGGGTTGCTCGAAAGAATAGCAAGGCTGAGTTTCAACTTTCAAGCTCCCTGCCGTACGACTAAATAGTAAATACCCAAGAGAAATCCCACCATTACCTTGGTACCGTGGAGCCCTTCCTGAGACGGCAATGGCTGGATTTTTGCCTCCTATCTCGCCGACGTCGCACAACG